TGCTGCCTGAGTTTGTCTGAGTTGCTGCCAAGGTCCTTATCTCTTTGTTTGCTTGGCTTTCAACCACCAAGGTTTTGGTGTCTTGCTATTAAAGTACATTCCAGTTAAGCTTGTCTCGGCATTCGTTACTGGACGGAGGATGGGGTCAGAACATTTATCCATTCCTCCTTGTTCTGCCTTCTTGTGCTTTGGAGAATAGACTGAGCTTTCGTTCTGTCATGCCACCATCCCATGCCCTCCAACAGCATCCTTGAGGACGGATAATTTTTTTCTAAACGTAGTATATATTCTGTATGTTCTCATATACAGTGACCATAGGAGGTATGATGTTACCTGTCTCATCCTTATGGGACATCTTCAGAGGTTAGTAGCCAGCTGTTCTATTGGAGTTCAAAGCCTCTTTGGGGAATCCCAGCTCATGGAAGCTTCATGCTTTGGATAACTACATTTGATCAATTAAATTTTAGAGGCCATCTAGATCTGGCAACCTCTACTTGTTACGTTGGTTTTGGGCCCATAAGAAATGGTCCATGAACATCTTGATTGTACCTTCCTTTCATGGAGCTGAACCTCATCCTGTATGGTGGAACTATGGTGATCCCCATAAGTTTGCTGACTTTAGACTAAACATTTCATGTTCCTTTGGCCTGTCCTCATAAGACATGTCCTCAAGCCAATCTATCAATCAGAACAGAGTTGGAAGAGACCTTGGGGGTCTTCTGGTCCAATCCCCTGCTTAAGCAGGAGACCCTATAGCAAAGAAGCTTCCATGTTTTCTTGTCACCCTCCCCTGAATCCTCTCCAAACCTTCTCAAAAAGTGGTGCCCATAATTGTACAAAGTTCTCCGAGTATGGTGTCATCAAGGCAGAATAGAGGGGCAGGAGAACTAGAATTGTGATAGTCCTTCTAGCAGCTTGGACCAAGATCTCGCCCCGTTGACATGGATGAATGCAAAGGGCAAACCCAACCAATGATCTGCTTCACCCATTATGGCTTATTCACCAGCAGAGGAACCTCGGCCAACCTTCTCTTTCCACCCCTACCCCACCTCCGCAGAGAAGACCTCCACGGCCCCCAAGGGAAGACTTCACCCATCTTCCAATGACAACCAAGGAGAACCACAAGTTTGCAGTGCAGAATGATTTTTATTAAAGTGCCAAGAAAAGAACATTGGAAGAAGCCATCAGGGTTTCCAAACAGTGCAAAGAAATGAACATCTCCCCATGGACAAACAACCTCAGAGGCCAGAGAGGAGACGAGGCCCTTAGATGTTTGCAGAGCTTTCATTCTTCACATGAAGCCCTTGACTGATCACTTATCTGCCATAAGTGCTTGCTGGAATGACAGAAGAAGAATACAAGCAATGGGAGTAGACGGAGCTGTGTGATAGCTGTATGCACACAGAGCAGGGCTGAGACATGACAGGCAATCTTCTGAAATCCGTTTTGGTCAGGGACAGTCCAGGTTCACTTAACAAGGGACGCCGCAGATGCTACCTCTGCGCCCAAGAGAGCAGATGCTGCCACGGCGACCGTAACGCCCCAGGCGGCCTCCGTAGTAGCCGCCATAACGTCCATAACCTCCGGCGGCACATGGGGTGTTTCCTCCGACGGCGACAGGCTCACAGCTGGCAGACAGGATAGGACCAGGGATGGTGACCACAACTGGAGGAGGCTGGATGGTCACCTCAGATGGTGGGATCTGGTTGATACAGGATGGGATGACTCCGGCCAGGGTGCCCAAGTTCCTGGCGGATTCAGCGAATCCAGCACCACCATAACCGTAGCCGAGACCAAGACCTCTGTAGCCGTATCCCCATGGCCCACAGCCAGTTGACCCCAGTCCGACGACAGGGGCGGAAGCGCAAGATGGAACAGCACAAGATGGTCCACAGTGAGCCATTTTTGGTAGGACGATTAAGGTGGGTCTGAAACGAAACATTACACAACCAAGTTGTCCATAAGAGGAGAGAGAGAGAATGGCAAAGAACCACAAAGACTCAGAGAAGTTTCCAGAGGATGGGAACACAAACCACCTCTGATCCTTTGTTTCATGTCAATCTTCTGTCTGGTTTTGCACAAGCGTGATTAATTAGAAGATAACCCATCCTTTAGGTGCCCAGAGAAACATTTCATAAACTCGTCAACTCCCCCATCTCCAAATTAACCATGGCTTCAAGCTTACGCAAGCTTAGCATCTCGTAGAACTGCAAACGCTAGATCTTCAACCCGCTCCACCAAGCGAACCCTGAATCTTTGTGATTCAGAAAAACAACGACCTAAACTAAAATGGGGAAAAAGTGTCCAACTTGACCCTTGAGTTCCATTACAGGAAAGAACTTCCAGAGGATCTAGTAGAAATGAACTATATTTTTTTCTGAAGACCACTTGAACAAGTTTTGGAGAAGATCTGAGAGCTTCTGATGTAGAGACTGCGAAGGTAGGAAGTCTCCTTCTAAGTATCCTAGTTTAGCATAAAGAATTTTGTCTGTCCTCTAGCATCTTTGTTAGATTAGGGGCAATTGCCTCCAGAGGAGGTTTCTAAGATCTTAACTGAAGCTGACCAGAAGACATCTCCTGGGCTCAAACTCCTCTCCTTTCAGCTGGAGACCCAAAATTTATTCTCCTCCAGATCTTTCTTCACAATGACTCTTCCTCCTCCAGAGAATCTAGTACAAATGATCTGTATTTTTTTCCTGAAGACCACTTGAAGATGCTTTGGAGAAGCTCCAAGAGCTTCTCATGTAGAGACTGTGAAGGTATGAAGTGTCCTTCTAAGCATCCAGGTTTAGGATTGAGAACATTGTCTGTTCTCTGGCGTCTTTGTTAGCGTAGGGCTATTGCCTCCAGAGGAGGTTTCTAAGATCTTAACTGACTGAAAGAAATGTCTTGGGCTCAAACTCTTCTCCCTTCAGCTGAACACCCAGAATTTATTCTCCTCTAGATCTTTCTTCACTCCTCCTAGTGAGTGTTTGTTGGGCTAATCAAGCCCCATGCCTATCCTATAAGTCTTCTGCAGTGCCAACTCTCTAAAGTCAACATGCTCCCGTTCAGAAATTGTCTTACCTGCTCAGAGGAGAAGAAGTAGAGAGGAAGCAAGCTGGTCGGAGAAGCTGTGAAGATCTCGCTGAGTAGAGAGGGTTTTTATACTGTTCTGGTGGCATCTGAAGAAGACTTCCCCCCCACAGGCCTTAATGAACCGCCAACGCAGTTCTGACTCATAACATGTCAAGATAATAATTACAATTTTAGTTCTGTAGAATGTCGTGTGGGTGTTGCTCCATTTTTTCAGTTGTTTGGGGTTTACGGGTATTTTGTACAAATCTCATCTGACTGGGGTGTGCCTCAGCAGGACAGGAACCACGGGGATTCACTCACTTCATTCCCAAAGGAGAAGAATAGGAAAAGTTCGGGAATTGCTGCTAAATTCATTTTTCTCACACTGACCCACTCGACCCATTGTAGTAAGAAATAGGTAATGGTATTATGGAATATTAAATCAGGATCTGGGGTGGTTAGGATTAGGGTTAGGGTCTTCCCTTTTTGTGGTGGTGTTGCGACACAACTCACAACCGTACCATTTAATTTTGTTGTACAATTGTACTAGATGTGCCCGGGAAATCCCCTGAAAAAAATTGTGAGATACAATAAGTTGGTAAAAAAAGAAAGACAGACATTTTTTTTTTCACCTACTGGTGAGTTTTTACTAAATATATTTCAAGCTACATTTGATGGTTTGAATTTCCTTTAAATCTGGGTGTTGATTCCCAGAAAAGTCACAGGAATTGTCATGGGTTTCCAGAATGTCTCTGTGCAACCCAGAGTTTCGGTAAAATTAAAAAAAGTTCCATTGAAAGAAAAACGAAATAAATTGGGAAACGGATAAGATTAACCTTAAAAATTAAAGCTAAAGAAGGCTCGAAATATTATTGGATGTGGAAATTTTTTTATGAATGGATAAATAAGTTTACGAATGTCAATAATTGTTAGTACGGAAAATAAAGAGGTACAAAATAATGACTATAGTAAGGGAAATAGGGTAATGTAAGTAGAAATTTAGTTAAAGTTCTTTATTTTGGTCACACCACTATAATCACTGTTACTATATTATTTTTATTGTTATTAGCTTGTGTATTAAGATTTTACTCTCAAGTTTTCTTTGGCCTCGCTTTATTTGTAATTGTTGTCCTGACGTGGCACTATCTTTTCAATTAAAAGGCAAAAGAAAAACAGGATAAAGACATTTAGCATTGATCTCTGGATCAACGCTAGACATTCTTGGCGAGGTAAACACCGTGTTGAAAAGGAGAATAGAGGTCCGTTTGGTTTTTAATTCACGGCCCACCATTATGTTGCACGTGGATGACAGGCTAATCAACGCGAAAAGCTGACCTGCGTTGTTTAGCCCTAACAGGCCTGCGTGGACGAGATGTTTGCCATTCCACATAGCTGCGATGGCTCCAACTCATTTAGACAACAGAAGGGATCAAAGCTGCACCACGGGGAATGCAATCTGCAATTATCCATCCCGCCGGTTCCAGCTTCCATCTCCAATCGGGCTGGTTGAATTTCTGAGGCGCAGCAACGCGTCAGCAGGAAAAGAACCCCCAAAATTAAAATAAACATTCAGCAGAATGGCATTCCAACGGTCAGATGTTTATCTCTGCTAGGAAACTTTGAGATAGGATCTTATTGACGGGTTCTTCCTTCCAAGTTGGCGGACTACTTGATGCAACCAAAGACATTCCAAAGAGTATTAGCAGAGGAAGGAAATTGGGCCCCTGGGTCAAACGTTGCAGAAAAATCCTGCATTTTTCGCTTGGGTTTGTGCTTCTCTGCTGGAGGAACGACAAAAGCGCTTTCCATATCTCTTCCAAAGATGGAGACTTAGACGTAGAATTCATTGGCATCCTCCAGTCTGAAAAGACTTGTCAGGGTTCCAAATAACATCCAAAATTATTTCCCCATGTTGTTGGCCAGCAGAAAGGGGCTTGGGCAACATCTTCCCCTAGCTAGCCACCGATGTTTGGGCTGCAGCCTGTGAACCAAGCACCACCAAGGTGGGCTTCCTTCCCACGTCATGGATGGGAGAGATACCAGTGGCTGCCTGTGAAGCAGCAGACACAATCCACATACATTCCACAGTTCCCCCTCCCAATTCCCCACTAATGAAACAGCATAGCAGAATTAGCAGGTCAAAGATCTGGGACTCCGGCTCCGGATTTTGCCTGGAGGTTGACTCCTGAAGCCTTTTCCGGTAGTGGATAGAGCCACAAGGCAGTGGAGGTTTGTAATCAGAGTTTCCCTTCTCCTATAAGATGGCTCTGCTGCTTGATCTGCCGTTGGGGCATAGAGCCCTCTTCCGCCTTCAAAACCATCCACTGCCTTCTCCTGTAACCCTGGGAAGGGGCCCTTACGAGGTGCCACCAGCCGGGCCAGCTGGACCAAGGTTTTTTA